AACAACGCCATGATGTTTAGTAAAGCTCTGGGATTGCAGCCACAGCCCTCGACCAACATTCATCCCGTCGGCCATCGTATACAAATCGCCCCTGTGCATGATTAGTAAGTGACTACTGTCATTGCTACCGTTAACTACTTTAGGCACATCAAACGTTACCAAAACATGCGACAGCGTTGGCGAGTGGTGTGTTGTCTGCGCCGGCTTGCACAACCAGCTACCGTGCTCACGACGGTAGACTTCGATGACAAATACAAAAGTGTCTTCATTATCATTCAGGCAGGTTATGTGCCCATCAACCAGCGAATCACTTCGCTGTAATCCAGACATCACAGTCAATACACTTACAGTGTACCGAGGGAGGTTCGGTAAGTCCTAGCCTGGGCCTAAATAGGATCCACCGAGGGACTAATTAGTATCTCCCTCGGTAAGTCTAAAGATAGAACTCGACTGAACTCACTGTCAACTGCACACACACTTGCACGGGTAGTTGATCCGAGGCACGGCCGAGAACACTTCCCCCCTACAACGGGTGGCCAAACGCACTCTCCATGTCGTCAAGCATTTCGTCCACACCGTTATCATCGAGGCGGCTCATAGCCCAGCGCCGAAAGAGTACTGCCATAGGCCACTCCGTGGCGCGCAGGCGCATCTCGCTGCACAATACCTTGAGTGTCCTTACGATGACTCGATTCACCACCTCGACCGTTCCATTCGCCCATGGGCAGTGAGGCGTGACAAAATGGTGATGGACCCCAAACATCCGACCCATCGTGTTAATGAGTTCGTTCTTGAAATGGGACCCACAGTCGGATACCCAGGTCTTCACAACGCCGAATAGACCGAACCACTCCATCAGCGCCGAGGCGGTTTCGACAGCCGTTCCCGATGCACTCGCGTGGAGGCGTACAAACCCGCTCATATCATCTTTGATGACTAGGCTACCCTCAGCCTCCAGAAATGAAACTCAGTCGAAATGGATTAGCTCGTTGGGCTTGGTCGCATGCAATGCTTCGCCCCAAGGCCGAGGCACAGATTCTCCGTCGACCACCATGCAATGGAGACATGCGCGGACGAAATTCTTCACGTCGGCTTTCAGGGTCGGCCATCCGAACATGTCGGTTACCGAGGCAGTTGTTGCTTCCACGCGGCGGTGACCAGCCACGCCCGCATGAGCCACCACACATATGCGCACTTGTCAGTGATCCAAATCTTCCCCGAGGCGGACAAAAAGCATTTCTTCTCGGCGCTCCAGGTCGAACATCGCTCACGCTCGGGGTGTTCACGTTGTAATGCCGTGATCGCATTCGCCGTCGGCCATACGAATTCCTCGGCACGTAACGGGGAAACTAATGCCAGTTTCTGCATTCGGGTGCCTCGGTCGGGCCCCGCTAAACTGCCCCATCTGCTCAGGAGGTCGGCCCACAGCTTGTCTTCCCCGGCGACACATTCCACCACATATGGAAATTTTGTCATAGTCAGCGCCCACCGCTGAAGCTTCTGGGCCTGATACTTCGCCATGTTCGAGTTCGACCCCAACGGGTTGAACATGTACACTAGGTTGCGATGATCGGTAAAGAGCTGAAAACCGCCGGGCCGAATCAGGAGGTATTCCAATCGTTTGCAGGACTCAACCACAGCAAACGCCTCCTTCTCGACAATCGGCCATCGCTCGCTCGAACCTCGAAAAGCGCCACTCAGGAAAGCCAACGATTCGTGTCGCTGGTCATTTGCAGGCAGTGCGAGATCCTCGGAGGGGTTCTGAGTTGCAACCCAGCAACCCGTCGCACAGTCGTGTACCTGGATGAAAGCTTCGTCCATCATCACTGCAACAAAAACGACATCTCCATGTACGATCCTACCGATGATCTGGACGTCCAGCCCAAGGCGAAGCACAAAGACCGTCGATTTTGCTTCATCGCCGCTATTGTGGACGACGGCCCCGACAATTCGAAAATCCTGTGCTACGAAAAGTTTGTTGGTGGAAAGCAAACGAAGGACTACCATGGTATGTTCGACAACTCGTACTTTGTGGACTGGTTTCGCCGGCTCTTGGAGGCTCTCCAGGACCATGCTATCGTCAATGCCATCATCGTCATGGACAACGCAAAATATCACAAGTGCATACCAGACACCACGCCGAAGTTCACGTGGCGTAAAGCCGACCTCATTGACGTCTGCGACACCCTTGGCATCGCCTACTCCCCCAGTGAGCTGAAGGCTACCATCTGGGCCAAGCTGCAGCCATACACGTCTGCTGTCGTACCTGAAGTTGTGGAG